GAAAAGGGTAGAGGCGACTCTTGAAGTCATACTTCAAGTTGTTTTAATGAAAGTATTAAGACTTTATTAGCAAAAAATTATAAAAACTTCTTGCAAACATCTTTTTTGTGTGTAGTCAGAGAATCAGTGGAAAGAGTTTTTACTTTAAGTTGTTCTATTAAATCTTTATCGAAAAGTTGCTATATAGTATCTGTAATGTCTTTATACTATTTTGATATATAAATTATTCAATAGTTGTGGTTTTTAGGAATTTGGTATCACCTAAGTATCTTGATGCAATCTCAATAGATGGAATTGTAATTATGGATGAAGGAAGTTGAAATTCCATTTACAATTTTCTAAGCATCCATAGGATATCACTATTTATTCTGATTATTAGATTTGCTGCATGAAACTGGGCTTATCTTTCAAAGAGATTGATTATATTGTATTTATACTTGTTGAACTCACCATCCTCAACCAGGGCAGAGTTCATGGCAATATTCATAGTAATTTGAACAATTTCCAGAAATGCTGTAATTGCATTCCACACAGACAGCCAAGTAGCTATTGATGCAATAAATAATGCTACACATACTTCAGCCTACAAAGCTATTAGAAACACCAGGAATTGGAATATTACACTTAACATAGTGCAAAGATGCAAGGAATATCGAATTCAACTCTCCCTATACTAAGTAAAGGTACATATAGGCATCGCAGGCAATGAAACAGCTAGTCAACTTGCAAAAATCAACTACATTAACATGATGCCAGATCAAAGAGAACTCAACCCCATTATTAATTTGGAAAACAACCTATGCTATGCCACATGAAGACACAATATAATAGATGTGCCAATCAAAGATTTCTGCAAGACAGTATTCTACATCAAACATTTAGTCCAATAGAAACTTCTCAGAAGGAATAGAACATGGATCAATACAGAAAAAAACAAAATAATAGACTGGCAAAACACTTTCAACTGCCTCAACTCCAGTAATATTAATTATGGAAACATATCTACAATGGATCACAACACACAAAAATTTGCAATCAACCTTTAAAACGATGAACTACCCATCTTGATCAAACTGAATCGATGCAAACCACACATTTACAGAAACAAAAACTATTCCAAATGTCAAAAAACAGAAACTACTTCCTATGCCTTCTTATGTATCTCAACATGGAAAACATATAGGGGAAAATTAACAAGTATCTTCACACTTAATATAAAAGATTACAAAGCATCTGCTACTGCTTCTCCTCTCCATCATATAAAAAGGGACATGTCCTTCAACAAATCTGATCAAGTAATCTCAAATCTCATCAAAGGCATCATCAGGAGAGATATTACCCTAGCAATCAATACTGGTTCCCATTTTTTTTTTTTTTTTTTTTTAAACTGGCCCATCCTTATTTTATTTAATGAAAAGATTTATTGTTTGTATACTGTAACTACATTTACAATTTTATATATCTTAATTATAAATAAAGTTATATAAAGAGGCTATTGTGACTTACCGATCAGCTTGTTGTCACCCACTGCGAGGCCTAACATGCCAAGGAGAGCTAGTTAGTGTTAAAATTGTAAGAGAAAATAGAAAAAGGATTTGTGTTGCCATAGAAGAAATCATCCATGTAGTAGTTTACGAGGCTGACAGACTGTCTTTAATTGTTAAGTCTTTGAGTCTTTCCTCTGGTAATATTTTGGGTTGCCCTTTGCTTTTGGAATGTTTATTGGCCTGTGTTATGACATTTGCTTTTTCCCAGAGATTGGTTTGTAGGTATCTTTCTGTTCAGATTTTTTGGAGGTGGTTTCTGAAGATGTTGATGCATTTATTTATAGTTTGCTGTACTATCGCTTTGGATACTATAAACTCTGATATTAGGATGCTGAAGTCTTTCCTAATTATTCCTTTGATGAAATCTTGTAGGGGGGATTCGTACTGCATAATTTCTAATTTGAATATTCTGTTCTTAAAGGGTATTGGTGGGTTTGTTGTTTTATAGTTCTTTAGTAAATCGGTCAAAATGTTTTTGATGGCTTTTTTATGTATTTGTGTATCCGTAAAGCAGAAGAATGGATAAATAGGCATTTCTGTCTTTGAGCACTTTATATAATGGTTATCTTTGAATATCTTTGAGTTTCTTTGATGAAGTTTACTGAGGGTGGGAAGTTCATTGTTCCAGAGGTTGATTGTGAATCTCCTGTTATGTTGATTTTGAAAGATGTCATACCATGATTTATGTTGCTGGGATTGATAGATTGGAATGTTCCTTGCCAATCTGTGACTGAGTTTTGAATTCGATTGATCCAGTCTCTATTTCTTTAAGTAATCTCTATTGTGCCAAGTGTTTGATGTGAAATATCTACTTACAAAAGATTTTGATTGGCATGTCTATAATGTTGTCTTTCCACCTTCCCACTATATGAATGTGCTTGATGTTTGGAAGGATGTATATTAATCTAGACCCAGGTTTTATGTTGAGATAGTCGATTTTAGAAAGAGTATTAGCTAGTTCATTTCTTAGAATGCCACTGTGTGCTCTAACCTTGTGTAGAATGAATTGGATGTTTCATTGATTGCATCTATCTATTATGAGTTATATAAGGCACCAATTCTTTATTGTTCTAACTATCTGCTCTAGAGAACTATTGGATGCTTTATGTATAGTATGGATTGTAGCTTGGCTATCTGTGTATATGTTGATGAGTGAGTTTGGTGGAATAGTGACTATTACAGTGAATATCCCAATTAATTCTGCTCTGGTAGAGAAAGGGAGACCTTGTATTTGCCCTTTGAACTTCTGATGGTTGTTGGTTTCATTTGAGAGTATCTATCCATAACCCATATATTGATAGTTGCTAATACAGGTCATTGAGTTATCTGTAAATGCAACAAAGTTGTGTTTGTTATTGTTGGAAGTAGAAATGGTGGCTAGTTCATTGATGATTTTGTCTTTTGCTGCGATGAGATTTTTTAAGATTGTAGGATATCTAGTTGTGGATCAATGTAGATTTGAACTCTTGAAGCACATGGAGTAGATTCGTTGATGGAAAAGTTTATTCTGCTTTGGGAGCTATGAGCTGAAAGTTGAATTCTATAGTAGGGTTATTATGCAGAGTGTTGCTAGAACTCTTGTATTCATATACCACTGGGACTTGATAGGCTTGCTGTACTATTTTTGAGAAGGAGCATGTATTTGTGGTTGGTATTCTTTTGTTAATGGAGCAACTACTGCATGGTGTTAAAGGGGAGTTGCCTTGGATTCTCTTGTAATGTGTATATAAGATCTTTGTATAGATGTTCCTTCTCTTTTGTTTTTGTTTTCGTCCAATTCTTCTGTAAATGGTATATAGTGATGATCCAATATTTTATTTCTGGGTGTTGTATTGGTATGTATATATGGAATGGATTCTGGGAGCCTTTGGAATTAATGAGATCTTCATCCAGTAGTTGTTGCAGGGTGAGGGAGATTGCTGAATACCATCTTGGATTTGCGATATAGTGGTTGTGATAATATATAGAAATTAAGTGCCAAGGTAGAACTATACTGGTTCCCATGCAACAACACAATCAATATTTCAAAAATGTATGAATCAATATAGAGAATTTCTATACTCAATATGGAAGGAGTGCTGTAAATACACCATAGAATGGGAAATGACAAATAACATCACCAAAAAAGACAAACGATCTAAAAGTCATACTCAAGTACAATCACCACCAGATGCCATATTATCTGAACTACTAATCAAAGATCAATATGTAAACCTGGTCAACCGCTACATAACTTGGTCATTTAAAGGAATCACAAATCTATTCACAATTTTTTTTTTCTTTTTCTTCTAATTTCAACACTAATTAGCCATCCTTGATATGTTAGTTCGTGTAGTGGGTGGCAACAAGCCAATTAGTAAGAAGGATAAATCTATCTTTAGATAGTTGCATTTGTATTTTAGAAAGATATAAAAATATTAAATGCATAACTATACGTACACAATGAATCTTTCTCACCAAAAAAAAACTCTTTCCCGTACACATCAGATCTTTAAAAATTTCCTTTTTTGGAAATTTTTTCTCTTCTGCAAAAATGGATCCAAAGCTCTCGAGTTTTAAATACAACACACCTCCAAAAGCTATTCTTACAAGAAACACACACAAAGACAAGTCCACACAACTCCCAGTTCGTCTGGAACTAAACACAACAATTCAGAAAACATGGAGTTAGATGAACAACAAACTCTTACTCAAAATACTGCAAAAACAAGACTCTGAAGCACTTCCTCAACATACAACGAAGACTATAATACACACAACACTCACATACCAAAAAAAACTCTTTCCCGTACACATCAGATTTTTGAAAATTTTCTTTTTTGGAAATTTTATTCTTTCGCAAAAACAGACTTCCAAGTACTGAGTTTTACCTATAATATGACACCAAGAACTATTTTAACCAAAAACACACAAACACAAGGCCACACAACTACAACAATGTCTCAAATACAACAAAATAACACAAGAAACATGGAGGTTGATGAACAGCAAACTCCACTCAAAAACACTCTCAAAATGAACCTAAGAAGCACAACTTCTTCATACAATGACAGATACAACTAAAACGAAGTAAGTTCATTCTCCAACAACAGCAATAATATACAATACAAACACAAAAACAGGATAAACCTTTCAGTCAACACTATAAACACACAAACACCTCAAACCAACCAAAACAACAATGAAAGCAACTTATCTACTCCACGTGGCTTTAGCAACACTGATAATCAATATGACGACAGGTTTGAGGAAGTACAGGCACTCCAACCTACTTTCCCTTCCCCAGCGAAACTACTGTTCAACAAAATGCCTCCTTTACCATAGACAACAAACCAACTGACTGGTCCATTGAATATGGCAGAAAATGCTTTAAAATATACATTCCTATAGCAAAGATCCCTGGCAAAGATGACAACAGCAAACTCAAACTTCTACAAAAATTCCTATCAAGATTTGAATCATTCACGTCAATCAGAATTAACAGATCTCAAGAAGGAAGTAATATTACAACTCTTTTTGGATCTGAATCAGATGCAGACAAAGCCAAAAACATTAAGCTTGATAATGACACCACCATTTACATACAACCCTTACCTGTATACAATGGGATCGAAGCCAAAAACAAAACAATCAGAGCATGGGACATACCTCTCAACACCACATTTGTAGATATCTGCGCCAGATTCTTCAAATTTGGTGAAATTAAATTGATCAAAATGCAAACAATAAGCATGTAGCAATCAGCTAACATAGAATTCCATAACCAACAAGATTATGACAAAATTAGTAACCACTGGGTAATCACCTTCAAAGCTGACTTGATTAGAGTTTTTCTATTTCTCAATATGATTCAAATCAAAGAAGAAAGAAGCATATACACACTGAAACTCATCAACCTTCCCCCAGGCACTACAGGTTTTGACCTCAAAGATATCATTCAAATAACCAAAGTACAAACATGCTACATCCCATGCACTATTACTTACAGAAGAAAGAGATTTGCAGTCCTAAGCTTCAAAGACGAAGAAACTCTTCTACAAGCCAAGAACACTCAAATCTTCCTAGGCAATACTGAACTTGCATAAGCAGAACTATCTGAAAAGAACTGCAATATCTGCTCAAGTACAGAACACATGCTCAAAGACTGTCCTACCAGAGCACACCAAAAGCAATCAGCAAAAAAAGCAAAAACTCAACACCAAGAAATTCGGTTACCTATATGCAAGATTCAAACCAGCAGGCATCCCAAAATTCAAAACCAAACTCTCTTCTAGAAGGTCATTCGCACAAGTAGTAAAAAATAACCAAAAGCCAGCAGAACCACAAAATACAAGCCAAACCCTTCACATTGAAAACACCACACTAAAAGACATCTACAACATTCTCAAACACCTTAGTAATGAAGTTCTTTTAATCAAACAAAATCTTAATATACTCAACCAAAGAATTGACAATTTCAAAGATGAAATGAATGACTTATACAATAATCCACCAGAAAAATCATTTCAAGAAACAACTACAATGGTAAATCAAGATAATGAAGATTTTTACAGCATTACCTCTAGCACAGCCAGAAAAAGACGTGCTACTAGCCCTGCACAAGATATCAGAGCAGAACAAGAAAAACTTTTCAACCAAATGAACAACTTAGAAAACTCAATTGCCCAAATAACTTCATCCTACGAACAACTCATTGAAATGCAACTTACCTCTATACAAAACACAAACCCCCAGAATTTATCAAAACCATGAATCACGACTATCAACTATCAACAAATACACACTCACCAATTATTTCAACCGATCTCCCTTCTTCAACAACCTCTCTTTCATCCCAATCTTCCTCAATCAACAACACACCTAATTATGAAAACACACAAATAACAAACATTTCTAAATACAACCAAACCCCCTTAATATGGAAAAAAAAAACTCTTTCACTTCTATTAAAATTTGTAAAAATTTCCTTATTAAGGAATTTTCGAAAGAGAGGGAGAACGTTGTTTTTATTTTTTGTTTATATTCAAACCACAATGATGGCAAATATCTCAGTAGAAATAAGCTTTTTATATGATATTATATTCAAGTACATGGAACCAACTGAATAGTTATCTCAAGTAAAGGAGCTCTTTTCCAAGTGGATAGGTTGAGCTTCTTCAGTCTATTTTAGTAACTCTAAATGACAAGTCCTTGCCACACAACCTGCATCAGGCTCTTCTAACAAGAAAAGAAAACATCGAACTAGAAAAGGTAAACAATAGGGTGGCAAAAAACCTGGTATGCCTGCTGACAAGCAAAACACAAGAAAACAACCTCCATGTCCTAAACCATACAAGTGTTCAGAGTATGGCCTTGACTTTACCAGCCATACTGCCAGGAAGAAACACTACAACAAGACACACAAACAAGGTACAACACAAGCAACTATGGAGGCTGAAACAGCTGAAACTTCACGAAAAAAAGTGAAACGTAAAGCAACCACTCTCGAGCCTCCTCCTTCACAACATGAAGCAGCATCGGAAGGTACTCAGGAAACCAGACGCAGAATTTTGGCCAATCATTTGGTTTATCCAATTGAAAGGGATGTCCAAAAGCTGATTAAACATGATGGCACTCAACCTGGCAACTACCAGATTACTACCATTAAAAGTAAATTTAATGTCAATGACTATGAGCCATCCAATGGTTCTTTTGGTTTAACCATGAGAGGCAGGTTTCAAACAATATTGAGACCTACCACGGCCCAGCTCAACAACCTGATTCGAGATGGTCTAGATCTGCAAGTACATGATTCTGTATTCAAAAGCAGATACCGTAACCTCTTAAAAGAAACAACCCTGACTGGGATTGGGGCCCGTGTTTTGATTAAAAAAGTAAATATTAAACTGGTAGGATGCTGATCAGCATGTGCAAATATGGGTAATGCTTTTTATCAGAAGATATTGGTGGGAGAAGTAATTCACGTACCACACTGAAGTACTTAAAATCTATAGTACAGGTTAGAGTATATATAACGGTCTGATAACTGGATTACTTTTAAAAATTTGTTTCAGGAAAAATTAAGAGAGTTTAGTGTACTCTTATCATACACCTTAGCACAGTATGAATTGTTTTTGTATATTATATGTAGATAGTCGTTTACTTAACGTAAATAGCTTACATAGTTTACATTTACCATGTAAATCACAAAAAAAAAAAAAAAACTCTTTCCCATACATCATTGCATTTTGAAATTTCCTTTTTTAAAAATTTTTTTCTTTTGCGAAAAAATGGACCCAAAGCACAGAGTTTTAAAGCACAACATGTCTCCCAAGACTATTTTAAACAGAAACACTCAAATCATCCAAAAACCCAAAAAACAACACTGAAAACATGGAGCTTGATAACCAACAAACTCCTCACAAAAACACCGCTCAAACAAGACTTCGTAACACTGCAAACTCTTTCAACAGTAGCAAAAACATCAACAACAACAACACTACAGGCTGCCACAATAACAGCACCTCTATCAATATTTCAACAAGCTTTGTAAACAATACCACCCCCTCTTCTTCCAAACTCAATCAAAACATACTCAGAATAGCAACCAACTTGACAAACAAAGAGGATAACAGCACATCTTTTACCCACGAGGTTTCAATGACGAAGAGGACTTTATTGATAACTGGTTTGAGGAAGTCCAATCGAACTCCAAAATCGACCAACAAACACTACAAAAACCTTTCCAAAACACTGATGACACACCAACTTCCACTCAACACAACAACCAAGGACCCACTGATTGGTCCACTGAATATGGCAGAAAATGGTTCAAAATATTTATTCCCACCAATGAAGTCCCAGGCCAGGACAATAACAGCAGACTTAATCTCATTAAAAAATTTTTGTCCCGCCTAGAATCATTCACATCCATCTGACTCAACAAGTCACAAGATATCAACAACATCATAGCCCTATTTGGAGCAGAAAGGGATGCTGAAAAGGCCAAAAAC